TTTTTCGAGTAATTCTGATCAAATTAGGACTAGTGGTTGCATCGAAATCATCTATGTTCAGCCCCAATGTGAGAAGAAGATTGTTCATATCTTGGTTATAGGAAATTCCACGAAAATCAGAAATTATAATTCGATCCAATTTTTTACACTGTGAAACAGAATTCAAAGAAGATACCGAAATCTTTGTAAAATCTATTTCACTCAATTGTAAATATTTTAATTCTTTTTGAAAACTTAGTACCTCGATGTATCTTCGGGCACTAGCGCTGCAACATTTTAAGGTAAATTTATCTAGTTGTTGCACTCTAATAAGTTTAATTAATAGCCTTGTAATTTCTTCATCACCGTCATTTTCGACAAGTTTGAAAGACATTTCTCGGAAATTCTTACATAAATCCAATAGTTTTTCTATAAATATGCGAACGTTGTCTTTTACCGGGGTATTTTCCAGTAAAAGGTGGAGGGACTGTAGGTTCGATATTCCTGATTGAATTGAAGAGAAACCTGATATATCTGGGTAATCAGGTTCGTCTCTAGAAATTACCATACTTAATTCTTTGAGATTTTTGGTATTTGTTCGCATTATCATCTGTACGATTGATTGAACCAGAGAACGGACCATTCGTAATTCGCCGCATTGGCAGATATATCCGCTAACCGCCAGCAATCTTAAACAGGCAATGTGTAAACTGTGCAGGTCGAGCTTTATTAAATACGGTGCACATCTTGAATACGATTTGGTAAGAGGAAAATGAAATCTCTGAGGAATAAGTGCTTTTTGTTCGTCTTCGTTCAACTCATTAATATATTTTTTTATTATGGGTTCGTACATAGCAGGGTTTCTCCATAATAAAGATATGGCAATTTCGTGTAACCATTTGTTGACGAACAAAAATTTGTAAAGAACTTTGTTCTTGTCTTCAGTGCTGTTTATAATTTTATGAACACATTCGACTGGCAAGTCTGAAAGTCTACTTGGACCGATAGAACTCATGTTTGAAAACTATTTGGCATGAAAAAGGACGGTTAATGTTATATAGGACCCCACAGGTACTGCCAAAAATTTTTTTTTTTTTAAAAAAAAATTCAATATCTTGAAGAATTAAATTGAAAAAATCTAATTTTTTGACCATCCCCTTTTGCGTGGGAGTTCCATATTTAAAGAGGATTTGTGTTTGTTACATGTTTTATATGTTTATTCGTGTCCACATTGCCTGTTATTTTGTACTTTCTGCTTTCCGTTTTTTT